GCTTCGTTGTGCAGTAACGTGCGTCATTGATTTCATAACGAGTTTGGCAAGTGTCCAGATAAACTCGCGCTGTGTGGAAAGATTGTTCTTTGATCGCTTTCTGTATATAATTTGTTCACAATTTAAATACGATTATTTTCATCCTACTAAAAGAAACGATGTGAAGCTGATATTTTAGTCACTGGCTTGACTTACTGATGCATAAACAGTATTGAACGATTTTGAGAGAAAGATTACCTGTCTGAACTTGAACAATTACACATCAGAAAGTGTTGCTTGGTAGCTCGATCCGAGGCCAGCTCTGTATTGGCCCAAGTTGAGGAAACAGTCGTCGGTGAAATGTTTGAAAATTTCCAGAGAAAATAAACAATACTTTTGTGTTCATGTGTACATCCACACTGAGCAACTGCCATGCTTCGGCTGCGCAGTTCCGCCTGGCATTGAGGGCTGGCATTATGCAAATATTTGGAGGCGTACATATTAATGATCCCGACTATTGCGTCACAGTCGGTATTGTGTGGAGAACCGACCGTTTTTCAGGGGGGTTTTTCATAAACGTGAATTAAATGAGAACGCGAAAACAGTCCAGTTTGAGATTCACTCTGTGTCATGTCCATGCACTGAACTCTTGTTATTTGACTATACCAAGGTAAATTCAATTTTGAATTATAGGTCACCTTTATGATGTAAAGGACCCCCAAATCGGATATTTGCTTTGCCAGGGATACCCTTTCTAAATAACTGGATTTTACTGAAAGCTAAAGCAAATTATTAAAATATTATCTGAGAAAATATAAATTTTCATTTCAGTTCAAATTTCAATATTCTTATGAATTGTAATTCAGATGAATACATAATATAATATTTAAAAAAGTTATGCAAATTTGTTTTGTATTTCTTACGGATTAAAACTTTCAATAAATTATGTTTTGATTATAAATTAAAATGAATTAAATGTATTACAGTATACAGTTTATCTATATATATATATATATATATATTATAAAAATAAAAATATTGTTTTTAAAATTAAGTAACTGAATACTGTCATAGTAATCTCAAATAAATAAATAAGTCAATTAAATTATAAAAAAATATTATTTATTTATTTATTTTTAAAAAATATTTAATCATTTATTTACATGTATCATTCGAGTACTGATTCTCATTCGAGTACTGATTCTATAAACCTGAAGAGAAACATTCAAATCACATGTATTTGTTTAGTCGACACACACACACACAAAGTTTTGTTCAATCCTTTCTCTGTCTCTTAAATGTTCTGCAGTGTCCAGTTTGAAAACCCCTACAACAAAACCTGCATTAAAGTGGCTTTTCTACTCAGAAACAAAGAATTTTAATATTTAAAACATGCCAAGAAGAAAAATCACGTTAAGCTGCACAGCCTGTTTTTAAACATTTACACAGAAATTCACTCTGAATCATTACATTACAGACTATTGTAATAAAAAAGGTAATTATGAAATCAGTTCATTCAGTACTACAAATAGGACTAGTTTGTGGGATAAGAAAAGGTAGTTCTTAAAAAGAAGAAACTTGTAGGCTTATATTTGAATACTCAGAGGAAATAACAGTACAATTGTATTTGGCAGGGATGATCAGTTTTATCTGTAAAGTACGATGTTGCAATGCTTAGAGACACAATGAGTAATGAAAATATGTTATTTGTGTTCTACTTATGCTCTTATTTCACCCACACTTAGCATGGTTGTGAACATAATGGATTGTTACAATAATAATAGCTTGTTCTCATAACATTTATTCACAATTTATAAATATACTGTTCCAAAATGTGGGCTCAGTAGGATTTTTTTATGTTTTTACAAAAAAAAAAAAAGTATCTAATGCTCACCATGTCTGCATTTCTAAATGTCCAAACCCAGACAATGAACCAAAACCAAACTAGAAACTGCACACTCACACAAAGACAAGTGTAGGAGTGCCAGGGCTCTGTCAGCAAACTAAGAATAAACCAGACCGAAGTAACAGAACCCTGACACCACGACTCCGGGATCACCGGACATGAGACCACCAGAGTCGGGACCACCGGACATGAGACCAACAGAGTCGGGACCACCAGACATGAGACCATCTGAGTCGGGTCCTCCGGGAACACCGGACATGAGACCACCGCAGTCGGGTCCTCCGGGAACACCGGACATGAGACCAGCGGAGTAGGGTCCTCTGGAAACACTGGACAAGAGACCACCGGAGTCTGGTCCTCCGGGAACACCGGACATGAGACCAGCGGAGTCGGTCCTCAGGGACCACCGGACATGAGACCACCGGAGTTGGTCCTCAGGGACCACTGGACATGAGACCATCAGAGTCGGGTCCTCTGGGACCAACGGACTCAGAAGCTCAAGGACCACCGGACTTTGGACTCCGCCAATGAGGGCTAGGCAACAATAGGGGGTTGTCCCCATTTGGGAACACTGCTGCGATCTTGACCCATTCTTCCTCCTGTCTCTCCCCAAAGGGCAATTTGTGAGGCGTAGTGGAGGACAAGAGGAGGAAGGCCACCTTTTTCTCTCCGGTGGCACACATAACCCACACACTGCTAGAAAGACACTATCCACCGTATTCCCATCTCCCAGACACTGATGGGCTCATTCAGGCAATTCTTAAAAAATGTATTTTAGTGCAGTATTAGTGATGTTGAGCCCGTCCGCAGTAATCAGGAACTCATGGCCAAACTCCTTCACTGTAGCCTCCCTTTAACAGAGAGAAAGGGGCTTGTTGAATCAATTCACCATCTGACGAGCAGAGGGGCGAGGGGTGGGAGATTGGAAAAGGGAGATGCCCTTGCTCTGCTGAACTCTCTTTTTGGCCAGTTTGTTCTGTTCTCTTGGGTGAAGGGATGAGGCAAGGACTCAATGATGCAGAGTGATTGGCTGTATTTAAATAAAATAATTTAAAAAACTACCCTGAGGGGGAAAACACAACCAACAACTGGACTGGACAGGACAGGGCAGGAGCAGGCAAGGCTCATTGGCAACACACGACGGTAACATTTTATCAACACACGACAGTAAAATTTTATGATGAAGTGGCAGAGGACATAGAACACAGGGAGATTAAATAGTAGAGAAAACAAAGCAGATAATGAGAGAGGACAGGTTGTAAAAATGAACCAATAATCAGATAACATGAATGTGAACGTGAATGCTCACACAAATACAGTAGGAGTGTCAGGGCTAATAATGTGAATAAACCTAAGAATAAATCAAACCAAAGTGACAGAAGCCTAACAATACTAATATGATGTTAATTAATGATTTTTGTATTATCAGCTTTTGAATGGTAGTTCATATTATCACACGTATCACATCTAACAATCATCACAAGTCAGAAATATTATTTAATATGACTGAATCAACCTGAATACATTAGGTTACATTTATAACCTTACAGCCTTATGTTTATAAACGAAAGTCATATAGTCATATGCAACCGTTTGTTCTTATTAATCTAAAATTATTTCTCAGTTTAAGCAAAGACAAAGTAGTAAACTATTCATAGTTTGACTTGTTTAAATGGTGTAACACTGTGTTTCTAGGCTGCTTGCAACACACTGCTGTTTATTTAAGCATCACAACATTAGCATTCACTCAACCAATAGTGTGAGTTTGGGGCGGGGCTATCTGTTTGTTCAATATCAGGAAAGGGGAATGTTTGGGAAACTAAAACTTCATTATTTTTTGCAATTCCACTTGGTGCCTAGGGGAGAAATCCGTAACAACCAGTGCATAACAGTAACAAACACACTAAATCAAAAATTTTCAAAAACCATGGAGAATCGGTTTGATTCAGGAATTTGAATCCATTGACTTTACTGTTTCCATAACAAATTGCCATCACCAGAATTACAGCTACCTTGCACTGCCCACTAAATGAGACCTCTCTGTCAATAATCCCCCCTTGATTTGGAAAAATATACATATTCATCTAATGTTGCAACAGTTTACTTACTCACTGACAGTCAGGGGTTTCCAGAGGAGCCAATTTCCTTCCAAATCAGGCGAGCTGGGCCGTGATTATGAGCTATCCCACTGCTGCAATATTAATGGATAGTGTGAGGCAGTCCCTGGGCAAGCTTAATCACCGACTCTCACTCTCTCTCCTCGCTGCCTATGAGACAGCTGTGAGGAAAAAGCCTCATCTGAGGCTGTGTGCGAGTGCAGTTCAGACCTGTTAGTGAGTCCCAGTGCTGACATTTCCTAAATGGCACATGTTTGTCAGCAATGTCACACGAAAAGAAGCTCCTGCAGCATTTAACAGGCTGCTCATCCACATGAGAGCCAGAATCACGCATTACATTTTCGGAATATAAAATCAGTGACTCAGACATTCGTCACATGGCGAAAGTGGTTTCATTAAAGGAGTAGTTCACTTTTAAAAAAACTTTTGCTGATAATTTACTCACCCCCATGTCATCCAAGATGTCCATGTCTTTCTTTCTTCAGTCGAAAAGAAATTAAGGTTTTTGATGAAAACATTCGAGGATTTTTCTCCATATAATGGACTTCCATGGGAACCAGATGGTTCAATGTCCAAAAGACAGTTTCAGTGCAGCTTCAAAGGGCTTTAAACGACACCAGACGATGAATAAGGGTCTTATCTAGCGAAACGATCGGCCATTTCAAAAATAAATAGAAAAGTTGAAGTTTAAAAAGCACAAATGATACACGTTCGTGACTCTCCTGCTCGAATTCGTTCATCAAAATGAACGAATCTTTTTTCGAGTCATTTCGTTCATTTCGTTAGTTGAATGAACGAAATGACTCGAAAAAAGATTTGTTCATTTTGATGAACGAGTTCGAACAGGAGAGTCACGAACGTGTATCATTTGTGCTTTTTAAACTTCAACTTTTCTATTTATTTTTGAAATGACCGATCGTTTCGCTAGATAAGACCCTTATTCATCGTCTGGTGTCGTTTAAAGCCCTTTGAAGCTGCACTGAAACTGTCTTTTGGACCTTGAACCGTCTGGTTCCCATGGAAGTCCATTATATGGAGAAAAATCCTCGAATGTTTTCATCAAAAACCTTAATTTCTTTTCGACTGAAGAAAGAAAGACATGGACATCTTGGATGACATGGGGGTGAGTAAATTATCAGCAAAAGTTTTTTTAAAAGTGAACTAATCCTTTAAGAATCATGACAGTAAGCTGCTTTTCTACAAACCCACTGTATATACAGGTCGTTCTAAAAAAATTTGCATATTGTGATAAAGTTCATTATTTTCCATAATGTAATGATAAAAATTAAACTTTCATATATTTTAGATTCATTGCACACCAACTGAAATATTTCAGGTCTTTTATTGTTTTAATACTGATGATTTTGGCATACAGCTCATGAAAACCCAAAATTCCTGTCTCAAAAAATTAGCATATCATGAAAAGGGTCTCTAAACGAGCTATTAACCTAATCATCTGAATCAACTAATTAACTCTAAACACCTGCAAAAGATTCCTGAGGCTTTTAAAAACTCCCAGCCTGTTTCATTACTCAAAACCGCAATCATGGGTAAGACTGCCGACCTGACTGCTGTCCAGAAGGCCATCATTGACACTCTCAAGCAAGAGGGTAAGACAGAAAGAAATTTCTGAACAAATAGGCTGTTCCCAGAGTGCTGTATCAATGCACCTCAGTGGGAAGTCTGTGGGAAGGAAAAAGTGTGGCAAAAAACGCTGCACAACGAGAAGAGGTGACCGGACCCTGAGGAAGATTGTGGAGAAGGACCGATTCCAGACCTTGGGGGACCTGCGGAAGCAGTGGACTGAGTCTGGAGTAGAAACATCCAGAGCCACCGTGCACAGGCGTGTGCAGGAAATGGGCTACAGGTGCCGCATTCCCCAGGTCAAGCCACTTTTGAACCAGAAACAGCGGCAGAAGCGCCTGACCTGGGCTACAGAGAAGCAGCACTGGACTGTTGCTCAGTTTTGCATGTCATTCGGAAATCAAGGTGCCAGAGTCTGGAGGAAGACTGGGGAGAAGGAAATGCCAAAATGCCTGAAGTCCAGTGTCACGTACCCACAGTCAGTGATCGTCTGGGGTGCCATGTCAGCTGCTGGTTTTGGTCCACTGTGTTTTATCAAGGACAGGGTCAATGCAGCTAGCTATCAGGAGATTTTGGAGCACTTCATGCTTCCATCTGCTGAAAAGCTTTATGGAGATGAAGATTTAATTTTTCAGCACGACCTGGCACCTGCTCACAGTGCCAAAACCACTGGTAAATGGTTTACTGACCATGGTATTACTGTGCTTAATTGGCCTGCCAGCTCTCCTGACCTGAACCCCATAGAGAATCTGTGGGATATTGTGAAGAGAAAGTTGAGAGACGCAAGACCCAACACTCTGGATGAGCTTAAGGCCGCTATCGAAGCATCCTGGGCCTCCATAACACTTTAGCAGTGCCACAGGCTGATTGCCTCCATGCCACGCCGCATTGAAGCAGTCATTTCTGCAAAAGGATTCCCGACCAAGTATTGACTATTGAGTGCATAACTGAACATAATTATTTGAAGGTTGACTTTTTTTTTTTTGTATTAAAAACACTTATTTTATTGGTCGGATGAAATATGCTAATTTTTTTAGAATTTTGGGTTTTCATGAGCTGTATGCCAAAATCATCAGTATTAAAACAATAAAAGACCTGAAATATTTCAGTTGGTGTGCAATGAATCTAAAATATATGAAAGTTTAATTTTTATCATTACATTATGGAAAATAATTAACTTTATCACAATATGCTAATTTTTTGAGAAGGACCTGTATATATATATATATATATATATATATATATGCTCTAGAAACATTTCTTATTATTAGTGTTGAAAACAGTGCTGCGTAATAGTTTTTGTGAAAACCATTACCATTCAAAGGTTTGGGGTATGTAAGATTACAACAACAATTAAAAAGTAAATAATACTTTTATGCAACAAAGACGCAATAAATTGATCAAAAGTGACAGTAAAGAAATTTGTAGTGTTACAAAAGATTTCTATTTCAATTAAATGCTGTTTAAGTTTCTATTCATCAAAGATTAAAAAGGATCACAGTTTCCATAAAATATTAGGCAGCAAAAACCGCTTTAATATGTAATGCAAGTTATATTTCATAATATTACTGTTTGCACTTTTTTTTATCAAATAAATTCAGCCTTGGTGAGCAGAAGAGACCTCTTTCAAAGACATTTGCAAAATCTTAATTATTCCAAACTTTTGACCACCAGTCTATATAATATACATCAAGATAAAATTATTTATAATATTTTATATTAATCTGATTGGTTTGATTCAAGGCTTAGAATTCTTTAGAAGGCTGTTTTGAAATCATTATGAAGAAAATGAATGGGAATTATTTCTGTAACCAATAGACTTCATAGGGAGAGATTACCAAAATTCTCAAGTCTGGGTTGGAAAAATGACTTATGAAGTGGGTTAGGAGATGAATTTGTTTAAGAGGTCGTTTAATTTAGCTGAGAGGAGATTGTCACAGTCACATGCTGAAGTCATACTGAGCGAGCTTTACATGTGCTGAAGATAAAGCTCTTTCCGATAAATATTTACTGCTGTTGCACTACGAACGAGTCTGCGTTTTTATATCTGAACTCCCTGTAGGCTATACGCTGTTGAGTGACGCAGGCCTGTTGCTATTTACCGTGAAATGAGTGTCTTTATTAAAATCATCAGTCCGAAAAAATCCATGGCGCGAGCGCAACTGGCTTTTAAAGGGAATGGGAGATGAGACTCTGATTGGTTAATTGCACGTTAAAGGGGTCATATAATGCCATTTTTGTACAAGCTAATATCATTCTTTAGGGTCTAAATTAAAAGTTTGTAATATACTTTAATTAAAAATTCTCATTAGTATTGTAAGAAAACACTTATTTTACCTGGTCAAAAACAGCTCTGTTTTCAGCACGCCGTTTCAGTGCATATGACTTTAAATGATCATGAGCTTTGCTGACTCCGCCCCTCTGTTCTATGCGTACACGTTTGTAACACAATACCATAACGTGTTGTTCATTATAAACGTGGGATTATGAATTATATGGAGAACGTCGTACATAGAAAACATGCAGTAATGTACCCTGAGTGTAAACCTTAGACTCATTCATCGTGAAGCGATTTGCAAAGATATAAATATTAATATAAAGTTTAATAAAACGTTACACTCACTTCAGTTGTTCTAGAGGTTCAGCAGGAACACGAATATCTGGTACCGATTCTTTATTCAGGAGCAGCTGCTTAGCAAATCCAGCTTTATACTGACCCTCGTTTATAAAGCAGTCTGCTGAGAAATGATTCGCGCAAACATGAAAGCATTGATTGACGTTGCTCGTGGGGAATATTCCCTTCGAAAACAAACTCAGCCACTGCGTCTTCAGCGGTTCGGATTTAGGAACATTAAAATGACTGTGTTCGTTATTACACGCAAGAACAGAACACCACAATCGCTTAGACGCCATTCTGCTCATAGACAGTGCTCCAGCATATCAACAATGACCGCGCCGGTCCGCGCAGACTATGATTGACAGCTCTCACGAGCGAGGGCGGGTCTGTGTTGAAACGCGCCTATCAATCAACAATCGCGGGAGGGGCGTCCGACCGTGTGACGTCACACGGTCGAACGGCTCGATTTGAGGCAGGGGAAAACATATAAGGAGATTAAAACAAAACCACTGGATGGATTTTTATCATTATATGATGGTTGTGTACAGGCACTGCCAACACACATTTCAGTACAATCAACTTGAAAAAGTGCATGTACCATTATATGACCCCTTTAAGCCCAAAACACACCTATTACTCATTAAGAGAATAGGGACGACACTTTTAGACCTTTTTTCCTGTCGTTAAACTAGCAAAAGTGGATTCGGACACGCCCTAAGTGCACTTGCGCTATGCGCTTCAGACCATGCGCTTAGATCTTTAAAATAGGGCCCTTAGACTCTAGATGTTGCAACAGTTAGCTTTTAATTCTACGCAGGGCTTAAAACGCATTTTACGTCCAGCTTAATCTTACAAGCGGGTGTATATCCAGCTGGTGCAATCGGCCCCAGGAGCTGCCAGAGCACATTGATAAGAGAGGAAGAGAGAGATTTACAGAACATGCCTAAAAAGATAAACTTTCAGGTCTTTTTTGAAGAAACACAGGTCCCCATTCACCAAACCAGTGCTTTGTAAAGAGCAGTCAGATGATGTCTGTGTTTGTGGTTACACTCCTGCAGTGGCCCTTCCTCCTGAATCTCAGCGTGTATCATTGCCCTGACACCAAACAGAGAGCTGCTTGATTCCTCACCCTCTCTGCCTTGAGCTTGATCCCAGGCACAAACTTGCTTACCACGGATTTGACTGTCACATTCTAAGGTTAGAAGAATGTTGACTCACTAAAATAGACAGACAACAATAAGTAAGCTTATGCCAATTTTTGCAACAAAAAAAAAAAAGAAAAAAATAACTTGGGCATATAACTAAGTACAAAAATAAAATGTTGGGTCTCTGCTAAAGTCTATGGAAGCTTGTTTCCACCAGGGAATAAAAAATAAAAGAGGTAATTGCAGCTATTTCACAATTCTGATTTATTTTTCTCACAATTTTGAGTTATAAAGTAAGAAAATTCTGAGAAAAAAAGTAAGAATTGTGAGAAATGAATGTTCGTACCAAGGAGATGCATGACAGAATTACCAAATAAAGATACTTTAATCAACACTAAGGGAATACACAGAGATTAACAACAACATTAAGCAAAAATGAGAACCGACAATGAACTGAAAAGAAAAGGTGTCAGGTTGCTGTAGGCTGCTGAAGACGAGGACACGGAATCTACGATATAGGTATTTATTTACAAACTTTACTTCCATAAACATACAAGAACAAAGGGAAAGGAACTCCAGGACTTCAAAACACACAACCATACACGGACGACGACCAACAAACACTGAGGGAAAACACAGGGCTTAAATGAACAGGGACTAATGGGATGATTAACAGAACACAGGCGAAGGGAATTACTAATCAGACATAGCGGGAAAACTAACAGGACTGAACCAAAAATCACAAAAGACGGGGGAAACAAGATCTCAAAACAGAACTAAACACATTGAAACCGTGACAGTACCCCCCCCCCCTCTCCGAAGG